AGCTCCGCCAGGCCCGTAAAGAAGGCGAAGAAAGGAAGGAGAGAAGATAGATGAGAAAGGGGGGCAGGAGAGACAGAGAGAGAGCAGAGAAGAGGAGAGAGAGGAAGAGAGAGATAGATTAGGATACGGAGAGAAGAGAGATGGAAAGATAGATAGATAGAGAGAAAGAGAGGAGAGTAGAGCGAGAGAGTAGAGGAAGAAGAGAGAGAGAGGAGAGCAGAGAGAGAGAGATAGCATAGAGAGAACGAGAGAGAGAGAAGAGATTAGATAGATAGAGAGAAAGCAAGAAGAAGGAGAGAGAGAAGAGAGAGAGTAGTGGGGGAGAGAGAGAGCAGAGAGAGGGGAAGGTAGAGAACGAAAGGAGGAGGAGAGAGAGAGAGAAGAGAGGAGCAGTAGAAGCAAAGAGTAAAAAAAGGAGAGGGGGGAGGGACGGGAGAGGAGATAGAGAGAGAAGAGAAGAGAAGAGAGCAGCGACAGTGAGAGGGTAAACACGGTAGCGTTTCTCATCGCCGATGCTTGCCCTGCAGGTACATGAGCAAACCGTGTGAGGAGACGATTAATCGCATCAAGCTGTACAGTGACTCGCTAGCTCGCTACGGCAAGAGCCCCTACCTCTACCCGCTCTACGGACTCGGCGAACTGCCTCAGGGTTTTGCCAGGTGAGATCCCCCACCCCTACTCCTCGGGTGTGTCGCGTGGCGTGGTACGTCACGCGGGTTGATTTCACCAGGTGAGATTCGCCCGGCCCCTGCTCTCTCTAGCAGTGTCTGTGTGCGGCGTAGTACGTCCGCAGTTGTTTTCACAGTGAGATCCCCGCCCTGCTTCTCTACGGTCGCGTGCGCGCGTAGGTACGTTATGTTGGTTGTTGTCACCAGTAGATCGGCGCGCCCCCTGCTCTCTCCTACCTGTGTGCTGTAGCGTAGGACGTCGCGCGTTGTTTTGTTCACCAGCTGAGATCCCCCGCATGCGCTCTCTACGTGTCGCGGCGCGGGCTAGGTACGTCACGTGGTTGTTGTCACAGGTGAGATTGCCCGCCATGCTCTCTCCTACGCTGTGTGTGAGGTAGCGTTACGTCAGCGCGCGTTGTTGGGTCACCAGGTGATGATCGCTTTCCCGCTCGCAAGCACACCAAACCCCGGCGCCCTCTACTCCGACCTGTCGCGTGCGGCGTAGGTGAGTCACGCGGTTGTTGTCAACCAGCGTGAGATTGCCGCCCCTGCTCTCTCCTGAGGCTGTGTGGTGTAGCGTAGGTACGTCACCCGGTTGTTATACGCAGTGAGATCGCCCTACCCCTGCTCTCTCCTACGCCACGTTGTGTTGTAGCGTAGATACGTAAACGCCGTTGTTGGTCATTAGGTGAGATTGCCGCCGCCCTGCTCGTCTCCTACCTTGTGATGTGTAGCGGATGTACGTCACAGTGGTACTGGTGCAAGTTCATGGGAGAGAACATGCTTGATATCAATATCCCGCGAACTGGATAACAGACCAATAACCCGTGCATAAATGGCATTTAAGTCCGTAATCTTGTTGTCCCCAATGGAGACTCTCTGCTTCCTCACAGTCATTGTAACAACCTTCTTGGGTATTGTTCCATAAAACCCGTCGGGCCATTTTGTTTCAAATTCCTCCATCTGTTTCTTTCCAATATGCACGGAGTTCTGGACATTGACCTCAGCTTTGCCAATTTGCCCAGTTACGATATTCACTATCCCTTCTGGGTGATTTGCAGGGTCCATGGGGTCAGTGCACATCTCCAGCTTTCTGCGGATACCTTCTCGGTCTTTGGCATCGGCCTCAGTTCTTGCTTTTCCCTCTTCCTTGTGGGTAAGCTGGGACCGTGTTTTGCTGTCTTCCTCGTCTTCCATATCAGTCAGGCTTGACAGGAGTTCTGCGCATAGATGTCGGCTTAGTGCCCATACCTTTAGTGCCTCTGGCTTGAGGGTGATACCAACTATCCCACCTTTGCTGTGACCATAACGCATAAAAGTTGACTCTATGAAGAGGTCACTCCATATCCCATTCCATATGCCCTGGATGTGGTGCATGACATGTTCGCCCTTGAGAAAATGTGACAGGATGTGGGGCGGGAGCTTTTCCATTGAACGAAGATAATGCAGTCCATAACGGGCATAGTTCATGTGTCCAGCAGCAAAGTAGTACGGCATCATATCTCTGAAAGTGGCAAGGTGCAGCAGCCAATCTCCTTCCCGTTCAGCTCTTATGAAGTTCATCATGAGCAGGACTGGTTTTATCAAGACATCAATCCAAACTTTAGCAGTCTTGCTCTGTTTTGCTATTTCATCCAGTGCATGAATCAGCTCTTCAGTGCTGTTGAAATGGTGATCAGCCACTATGTCTCGCAGTATTTCCTCAGTAACAAGTCGTAAGGCGCGCACATTCTGAGGGAACTTCTTCCCGCTAAGCATTTTGCTGACTCCACCAAACACTGGTGTCATCAACTCAACCAGCCCAGTTTCAGCCATCAACGTTCCTATAGAGCCAACAAAGCTCATCAAAGCGTGCATCCCTCCTAGTCTGAGAACTACATCTGGAAATCTATCAGGATATGTCCAGGCAACTTTCACTGCCACACGATAGAGCTGCTGGTCACATGTCAAAACCAGAAATCTCTGACCAGTGTCAAAGGTCAGCTGCTGAGCACGGACCATTGCTGTCATCATCGTATCCGGATCCGATGGCTTCATATCAATGAGAGGTTGGTAAATGGCTTTTGTCTTTGGTTTCAAAGGATGTCCTTGGTTGCGAACAAGTGCAGTGTTGTAACCATTATACTCGGGACTGTTATCCTTCTTGATCACATCTTCAAGAAAAGCAATATCTGTCGTTGACGCACGGTTCTTAGCCATCACCTGTTGAGCAAGTAGTTTCAATGGTAGAATTCCTTTTACTGCTCTCTGGACTGGCATTTCAGGGTTTTTTTTGCCATTGAACCTATGGATATTCACATCATAGTCTATTGGCTCGGACATTTCGTCCTTGGTTATTCGTCTTATCTGGAGCCTACTATTATCATCGGCCATGTCAGCAGTTTGCGGCTGAGTTAACAACACTGCCAAGGAATGTGTTGATGACTTACCATTCTGTGAGTTAATATCAACATCAAAATTGTCAGCTATTGCTTGTACTAAGCCTGCATCTGAACTAGACAAACCACTGTGGTTCTTGTCTTCTACTGACGCTTTGGCTGCAGATTTCTTAAAGCGCCTCATTTCTGAGTAAGAGCAGGTGACACCATAAGAATACATGTCATTAATGAGTGCTTTTGATTCACCCATTTTGACTGCAAGAGCTACCTGTTGGCTGGTGGGTTGGTTTTTAAATATACATGTCACAATTGACCCAATCAACACTGCTGGTAATGTTTTGTCAAGTTTTGGGGACACCTTTGCTAACAAGTCCAAAATGAATTTACTGACAGTGGCCATGCATTGTGCCATATCTACATGAATATCATAATGAGAATTGTCAAGATCAATATCTCTCAGCTCTCGGATGATATGTTTACTTGCCTTGCTAATTATATTGTCTCTGTCATCTTCTGGTTCATTCTTAATGCGGAGTGTTTTGGAAGCATTATCGCGGAATGCAATGATATCAGATATACCATCAGAAGATAAGACAACTATCTCATCACCAAGCTGGTTTACCAGTTCTTTTACCAACAGCCTGCGGGATTGCCAGTTACCATAAAGGTCTGTGTATTTCTTAAAGAGTTCAGATGCATTCCATATTCGAGATTTGTCTTCTCGCATCAGTCGGATGAGGTTAACCAATGGGATGTCATCAAGTTGAGCTTCATCGACACCTGTGCTAAAACCTGAGAAAGGTTTACATGATGTGAATCTTTGCCTGCAGTCAGAATGATAGCGGACATCAGCTGCATGGAAATCACTCAAGCAACCAGCAATACGAAGGCGGATATCATTGGCAACTTTGTCGT